TCGAATATAGAAATCAACGTTTACCTATCAATCTTTGCTTGTATACGCCCGAAATTCAAGAAAACAAGCAAATTTAACGATTGAAAATAACTTCAGTTTTCAAACTCAGTTGCTCTCGAACAAAAGAAACTATTTTCACTTGAATTTCAGAAAGAAATGTTTATTCTCTGGACTATACAGAAATAAAGAACAGTTCTTTGACAAATAGGGGTAGTTTCTCACCCTTTAACTAAAAAGAAAGAAACAAAATGAAAGTTTTACCTGGAAAAAGGAATCCAGAATCTGCTTTTGCATGAAGCATCAGGCGAAGTCGATTAAAGTATGCATTTCCTTACTTTTTCAAAGTCCATTTGATCTCTATCGTCCTCGTTTTAAGGTGGATACCTAATGATGAGAGCAATCCAACCTCTGTCAACGGTTTTTCTTCTCAAACAGTTTCTTTTTTCTATTCAACTATTACTGACTGAAATAAACTTCCTGAATCAGTTATTTTTTTTCTTTGACGTCTTTCAAAAAGCCACTAGCTCAGTATCTTTTACAGTAAAATTCAGACATGTTCGTAGTCAAAATAAACTCGTCTTAGTTGTTTTCTTTAACGTTATTTTATTTGTGGTTATTCACCGTAAAATTCAGAACTAATTCAACCCATAACATTTTGAAAAACACATTTATACAGTGTGTAAGTGTATTTTGAGCTGTCAATAGCCCCTTGCTGCCAGTTCGATGGGTTCAGTTGACCCCTTGAGATCTTGCTTCACTGTAAAAAAATTTTGATGTACTAAAAGGGCGATCGGAGTATTCGAAAAATACATTAAATCACGGAAAAAAACTGTCCGAACAGTTTTTTTTTTCGTAATTTAGTACATTTTAGAATGCTCTAAGTTTTCTTAGAAATGATTCTGGAATTCTTTTAACAAATGCATTTTGTAGAGCAAACATTTTTCTACAAAATTAGATGTTTTACAGCTCTGAGAGAATCGTGATAACTGATTTATAGCAATTCTCCCGGATGCCCCAAAAGGTCTTCCGGCCAGACTGATCATCGCCAAAGATGCACTGTAGATGAACGAATAAAAAATTGGTGAGGACCCATTCAAAAATTTTTAAAATTTGACACTCCAGGACTGTCAATAGCCATTCCGAAAATAGGTATAGACTCAATTATAATATGAATCTACCAAAAACTATCTTTGTTTCCTTGGACTGTCAATAGAAAAATGACATATGAATTACATGGTAAGATAGAGAGAAGACTTCTGACAAAACAATTACAAAAAAACAATGCCTTATTAAATGAACATCACAGCTAGAAAACTAAATGATAATAAAGAAGAGAGTTACATTCATACTTAAACTCTCAGTAAATAGATTCCAATAATGGAGGAAACTCTTAAAATGTCTTATTTATTTATTGTAGTTTGCATGCCACAAGAACTCAGGAATAATCAAAGCAAAGAAGCGGTTCTTCGAAATAAGCGCTGTAATTAGAGCTAATGAATCACTTTCGACTCAGAGTCTGTACAAGCACTTAGAGATAAATGCGTCGCCAAAGAAGTTGTTTTAAACTCGTATTCTCTTATTCATCTTGGAAAAGAAAGATACGTTACTTTGAATAACAGTTCGTACAGTAAATACCCATGATGCACACGTACGTCACGCACATGTTGCGTACAGAACGTGACATGCGCGTACATATTGACCCGAGCCGATTAGATATTTGCACGTATAGTTTATACGAGAGACATTTTTTACAGCGGCGCATGTGATGTACAGTGAAAATACCGCCATTGAAGTGAGTTTTGTGCCTCTGGATTTTTTTTACAGATACCAACTGAAATAAAAAGATGACTTAAGTGAAAGACGTACCATTCCAACTACTTTCGTCTTATATTAAACCCAAACTACGCTCACTGTACTTAAAATGTTTCGATTGGATGTTTGTATTATACGAGTGCGGATCAAAAAAAGTCAAAAAAAGGAAAAAATTTTATTCGATTCTAATTGTCTAATATTTCAGAAACGAACCAACTGTTAAGGCGGAAATTACAGAGTTATTTGTCATTTGAGTACGGCTAGATGGTTCAGGGCCGTGTCCAAGGGGCGAGCACACAGGGCACGTGCCCACCCCTTGAGATCTTGCTTCACTGTAAAAAAATTTTGATGTACTAAAAGATGCACTGTAGATGAACGAATAAAAAATTGGTGAGGACCCATTCAAAAATTTTTAAAATTTGCCACCCCCTTAGCAAAATTCTGGGTACGGCACTGAGATGGTGACAAAGTTTCATCAAAATCTGTGATGAAATCTTACATTTTTTCCTTCAAAAATGATTTACAACGAAAATTCATATTCAGTGTGTCTTATCGTGACCAGAATCATGTTTACGCTTGTCGAGTATTGCTTATTCTTTATTGCTCGAGTAGTTTCCAGTGCAGGCTTGGAATAATGTTAGTTCCCCAATTGATTTAGAGTATAATTGATCAGCTGTATTCTTCTGTAGTTCTCGGACTTTAGATAAAGTAGACGACTTTCCCTCGAACTATTGAAAAAGTAATATCCGTGATTCATAAGAATATTTTGTTTGTGACTTTTATCATATGTTCTGATTTTTTTTATCCTATTAAAAAAAATCGCGTAATAACACACACAGGCGCATTTTCTTTTCCGTCACTCAATCACATATACAATGAAATCGTGTACATGACTGATAACTGATATCAAGTTATATTGTTAACTAAAATCATCTCTTGAACTCTCACCTTCCAAGTATAGTAAAAAAGAATCATTTGTTTTCTAAGTTTATGGTGAAATTCTATATTTTTTACCGCCTATCCTGTCCGAGGTAGATGTCATTTTTATTCAGCTGTAACTATTTTTCCATTTATAGATTCTTTTTGTTGTTGTTTGGCTCGAGTCATTGTTTTATAGGTCGGGGACCTTGATAACTCTCACTTTTCGTGAGTAATAAATTCATTCACTAAAGTTGATAAAGTAATACAACGGATCCACTATAGTAATAAACATAATCTACCTCTGTCACTTCCACCCTAATTCAACTATTGCTGACTGGAATAATCTCTCACAGTCAGTTATTTGTCTTTCTTCTGTAACGTTTTTCAAAACAGCTTTACTACAGTAGCTCTTCCAGTGAAACGTTTGTCAGTTAAGAATTTATATTTATTCTTTTTTCCTGTCTTTTACTGGGCTATGACGGCTCTGAAAGATGTACAGAATTCTTTTCTTTTCAGTATAAAAAGTAGGTGATGGTATTGCTTAATTTTTGGCAAAACCTCAACATCTGCTTTTAGTTTTTGAATTAGGTGACACATACTGTTGATAACGATGGTGAAACTTCGTTTTCTTCCATTTCAGCTATTTTGCGAGAATCACTCATATATTGAGAGCTTTCATATTAAACAAAACTTCTAACGTTTCTGCTGTTTGTATTCTAGTGTTGATTTTTTGTTCCTTATTGATCAAAAACAGTATGTGTTTTGCAAAGTTCACTTCGAATATTTTCTACAGCTTTTCTGTTCTGCGTATATAGTTACTCTCTCTGGAAACGTGTACTGATATATACTCGATCCATCCTATCGACACTGTACCATGTATGTCTCTCTGTCACAATCTATAACATCTACTGTCTTCTGACTCATCATAGAGTATACGGGTTTTGGTTAGTACAAAGATGGGTGACTACGTCTAAAGCCCAAGATTATAAGCTGTATGGGTTAAGTAGTAGGGGTAGAACACACTAACAGTTGCACAGGATGAGGAATCGAACACCTCAAGTTTACTTTTAAGATAATTTAGCCCAAATGTAAAATTGATGCTTTAAAATTCATAGTTTTAGTGTTCGATTCCAACAGCTGTGTAGTGTTGTTTTGTGCTTTGCTTTCCATTTGTTCTATCTTAGTCTCCATCTGACTTATCTCTTTTTGTTTTTACTTTAAATTTCCTGTTAATGTGAAGTGAAGAGATGAGATTGATTTTGATATTTTAAACGCGACTTGTTTAAACTAAATAAAATTTTGTTTTACAGCCGCTTTTTCGTTACAGAAAAGCTCAAGCCTTAAAAACTTGGACTAGTTCTTACTACGCGCGCAGTCGTCGATACTGCTTTTCTGTAACTCTTCTCTCAATGCATTCGATGACGTCTGACATTCTCAACTGTTGAGAATATATACTGTGTTGAGAAGAAAGTTACAGAAAGACAGTATCGAGGACTGCGCGCGCAGTAAGAACTAGTCCAAGTTTTTAAGGCTTGAGCTTTTATGTAACGAACGGTTGTAAAACAAAAAATTTATTTAGTAAAGAGATGAGAATCGATGGAGTACGTCCAGACACAATGGTTTCTTGTTTTCTTCTGTTAGTAATAATTTAATTATCTTTGAGCTGACTGACACCGATTAAGATCTTTAATTTTTAATTAAGATTTGTTGTAACAGGGAGTTGTGTGTGATACTAAAAATATTTAATTAAATAGCAACGACTTTTTCTTTTCCTTATAATGACAACAACCATCATTTCCGTTCACAAGCATCTGTTATATGACAGTTTTAAGAACGGATTTCATTATTTACAGTGCTTTTGATTTGATCCAAAAAAACAAATTATTCCTTCTTATACGTTTCTGTTATCGAATTTTAAACAAAATCGGTGTATACCTATCAGAGACCGAAACGGGACGGGTGAGGTTCGCGTTAAATAAAAAGATATTTCGGGTCACAGGCAAAAATTTCGATTTTTCATGCGTTCTTCTGCGAAAACTGTAAAGTTAAGTCCTTTTTTGGGCGCGAAAATTTTTTTTGTGATTCATTCAGGTCAAGGAAAAAAGTTTTGGTTTGGGTCACAAAAGGTTTCGATTGGGTCGAATCAAATTCAGATTCGGTCTCTGACAGCTATGTACAAAAAAACTATTGAGTCGAGATATTTTTACTAGAATAAAATACCTAAGATTTGGATGTAATAAGTAATTTGCTTTTCTTTCCATTTTTAGATGTACGGTCGTCACCTGTTTATATGTATTCTACCATTTCTGTTTTTATTTTATTCATGCTATTGTGATGAAACATTGGATCTCAATACATATATAATCGATTTAGACGCTTCTCCATTGTCCCGTTGGACAAATGTTATCGAAGAATTTCGTTTACCATTGAATATATTCGTTGAAAATATTCGCTCAGCTGTCCCATCACCCTTTTTTTATGTATCGGAAGCAATTGCATTACGTCTTGATCATTATATTCCTCAACCATATCACGATGAAATTCACTCAATATCATCAGCTGCAAATATTCGATTAAGTGATGTTATTTTATTAAATTTAATTTATGAATTACGAGCACACTGTACGAGTATTCTAGCTGTAAGCACAAATGGAACATTTATTCATGGTAGAAATTTAGGTTCGTATCCTTTAATTAGTCTAAAAATTCTTCCTTTTTCTTTCTATATTTTTTAATTATAATATTTTCTTAAATTTAGATTATGATTTAAATACAGATTTATTACGTTTATTAACATTTCAAGCTAAATTTATAAAAACAACAAATAAAAGTCAAGTTGTTTATTATTCAATTCATTTTGCTGGTAGTGTTGGATTATTTACGGCTAATCGACCTAATTTCTATAGTTTATCGATAAATCAACGTCAAACAAACAATGGTGAATGGTGGATGAATGCGTTAATGGCCATATTGCATTTGAATACAATGCCTTTATTTATATTTACAAGAATTCTATTTGAAAATTATCATTCGTATGAAGATATAAAATACGAACTAAAAACAAAGCATTTAATTGCACCCGTTTATTTTATTTTGACTAATGGAGAAAATGAAGGTAATAAAAAACAAAATTTATCGGTTAAGTACATTGAATATTGACTTTTTTTCTGTTTAGGTCTGGTTATTACTCGAAATCGTTTGAATTCAGCTAATACAATTGTATTAAATTCATCAAATCCATTATGGTATTTAGTTCAAACAAATTATGATCATTGGTTAGAGGATCCGTTGAATGATTCTCGACGTACAACAGCTGAAAATGTTCTTGGCGTAATGTACAATCAATCTCAATTACTTGATAATACAATTTATGATGTTCTCTCTGTGATACCAGTATTAAATAAGTATACTGTCTACACTTCTATCATGTCACCTACAAATAATTTAACGATACCAATTTATGCAAAAATTAGAACACTTGATCATAAATCAAAATACTTATTAACATTACGACAAAAATTTCAACGATCCAAAACATCATTTATAGAGAAAGTAGTGAAATTTATAACATTTGCATTTTTGCTTGTTTGATTTGTGTGTGTGCATCGTTTACAAAGCTAGTCCCGGTTCGCACTTGTTTGATCGAAAATTTATTCTCATTTATGTCTGCTTACAGACCAGACACATTTTTCTCTAAAATTTCTTTTGAATATCATAAAATATTCAGTCATCTCTTCATAGTCGGTGGATTAGTGTTGATTATAAATAAAAATTGTGCCATTTTTCTTATTTGATTTAAGCGGTTTTATTTCAAGAACAAACCTCGTTATATCATTTTAACTTTAACTTATCGAAAACATAAAATTAGTTTTGCATTGACACAGATTCAAATAAGGTATTTAAGTTTTGTAGTAAAGTATAAGACTTAGTCCACAATTTCTAGCCTATATCTTGTTTAACGATTGAAGTTATGTAATTATACGATATTACCCATACTTAATTTTTTTCAGTTATTTTATCTCTTTGTTTTTGAACTAGTCTGTATTTTGTACTTTTGTAAATATAATGTTCTCACTATATTCATATTCACATGTTCAATTACATACGTTATTTTGTAACATAGATATTGTACTCAACGGTTTTCTAATCTCTTTGTGTATTTTGATGTGATAATAGTCGTTTATAAATAAGATGACTATTGTAGTTGTTGGTTATTTTGTATTTTATAATGCATATGTCAAAATGTAGTTGTCCATTTTATTTTTGTGTAAATATTTTTGGCAATTTTTGTTTATTCATTAGAACAACTTTAACATGAGTATTCCGATTTTAAAATATCCTTGTACATAGATTTATATTGCTTCTAGTTTGGGAAATCAAGATTTGTTCCTGTCAGGATTGTTTCGAAGATGTCACAGAAGATTGTGAGCACATTAAAGATTTTTAAAGATTCTGCATGAAAATCATGCAGAAAGTAAGGAAAAAATTTCACGATCTACTCCAAACAGTTGTATTTTTTGTTTGCTGAAAATTCATTACGTTTTCTAGATAAGAATGCCTATAACTGTTCTCTCAAAAGTTAACATGTAAACTACTAAAAAAAGAAATAAAACGCTTTAAAGAGTCAACTAAAATACAGCGAAGGTAATTCCACTAATTCGACTTCATTGTTAATCTACATAAAATCATAAGGTGATTAAACGTAAGCTAATTGTCCCTATATGTAGCGTTCGTTATTCATCCGTTGTGATTAATTTTTTTTTTATTTCATTTTGATTATCTAGGATGTTTTATTGATTAACTCGTTTTCTCTTTTTTCTTTTCCATTTTTTAGAATGTTCAATTGCAATCTATCTTTTCTCTCTTTCTCACCCTGTCTTTTGTTAAGAAGGAGAGTGTTGTTAATAATGAACCCTTTTTCTTTCTTTATTTTTCATTTCTTTAGTTCTAAATGAATAATATCGAACAAAAAGCAAAAGAAAAAAACAAGCCGATCAACGACAACTCTATCTTTTTTCATTTGAATAAAAAAGAAAAATTATAAGAAAGAATAGATTCGTTTTTATTCGGATTTTAACAAATGGCCATGACAATAATTAGAAGAAAAAAAATTCGAAACTAGTGAGTATATTTATTGTTTTGTATTTCTCATTTTTGAAAATGAAAAGTTTATTGAACTAATCTGAACAGTAATTATGAGTAATGATGATATTTTCATTCAATCCATCTTTTTTAACATTCTGAAAAGTAAAATTGTAGAGTTTTCTTATGAGTTAAAATAATTTTGTCTAAATAATCGAATAATATAGACTTGCCATTGCCCTGATTGATTCTTAAGATTTTTGTTTTGTTCTATTAAATCTGAGAGATTTATTTTGAAATTCATAAGTTCTTTGTAATTGAAATGCTTAGACTCAGTCAAGATTCTCTCTTCCATTAGTTGATTTTTTTTTACTTATTATATAACTTTCTTTATTGAGGATCAGGGATGTTAAAATGTTTTTCTTTTAATTTATATATCATTATTAAATTCTAATCGTCATTTTTTTTCTCCTCTTTAACATTATTAATCGTGATGTCAATACATATATATATATATATAAGTTCCATAAAGTAAGCAATGAGAGGGGGAATGGGTTATGTCTGTCTACTCTTCTTTCTTTTTCCTTTTTATATTTCTTTTTTTGTTGCAATAGAAGATTTTTCTCTCTACTATTGATAAGAATGTATATGTGAAATATTGTTAGAAAGAAAAAATTTGTAGGTAGAGGTAGCTCTTTTTTATCTTTTTCTTTAAAATATTTTTGAACCATGTTCTCTTATTTCTTTCTCATTTCATGCGAGGAATAATTTACAATACATCCATTGTATTGTTCTTTATATTAAAAAAGAAAAAAATGGATAGCAGCTGATTAGATAAGAAAATAATGAAAAAAAAGAAAATTGAGGCAAGCATTAACTCTTATAATCTATTTTATAGAAATGATATTTTTCTCTTGTTTAAGCAGTTATCGAACAGATAAATAGGATTTGTTTTTGTTATGAACTGAAAAAGAAATATTCAGTTTTTTCCAATAGAATGCTGTAGTTTTCTTAATTAAAATTGAAAGACTATTCCATAGTACGAGACATAGTTCAATCAATGCTTTTTTTTTTGAATTCTTTTGATCTGAATAAATAAAAACAACCTTTTCAGTCTATCATTTGGAACTGAATATAAAAAAGTAAAAATCAATGCATACGATTATTTATAGTAGCACACAATTGCTAGCTATAAACTTTAGCTATCAAAAGACTTGAACGAATATGTTTTACTTAATTCATTCTTCTCTTCATTTTTTTGTTCTCCTTCTCTCTATCTCTCTGTTTGTATATCATGTTGGATTCATTGGAATAAATGTTACTTTTTTACCTATTATTTAGTAGCTTTTCCTTCTAACAAAATGACTTATTAAAAAAGCAGGATAGTTTTATTCATAGAGAGATAACTTAGGCCGAATGTCTTAATACAAGAATATTTTTTATCATTTTTTTTTTCTTCTTTTTTCTCTTTTTGTTTCTAAAAAGGCAATATAGATACATATACATACCCTCTCGTAATTTTCTCATTACAACTGAATCTTCGCTATAAGAATTTTACGTTTATATTTTTATGTTCTTCTAATTTTTTTCTTTAAACAAACGTTACCATTGAATGTTAATAATCAAGACAGAGAAGAAACTATAACTCAAATGCAGTTTGAGTACAAGTAAGGAAAAGCGAGAGAGAAAAACGTCTCTATAAATATGTTTCCTCTACATCGGGTTTTTCGGATAATACTCTTTTTACATTCGACATTCACATGCAATTTGATGATTTCCATTTTTAAATTACATATTCATTATTATTCGTTTTGCACATAGGATATAATCTGTTTTCTTCTTTTTTTTTTTTTGTTCACATGATGGAACTGTTTGACATCTACTAATGACACCAATATTCTATAATTCTGTTTAAAAACAAGCTTGAAAAATCGATCATAAGATACGTCATTTAATATAAACAAAAATAGTGCGATTTTTGGATTTTTTAAAAAAATCTTTAACATGACCAAAATTCACGTCTGATGAAATGGATGATTGTAAATATTTCTAAGTGTATTAACTTTAGTTTAATTATGTGATATAATTTCTCACCTAAATGAGCAAAATTGTAATGTAAACTTTTCTGTTGACTTTTGTCATTCTGTTTACCTGAGTCGTATAATCATCGTATGATTGTCAATCAACCGACATAAATACTAATGTTTTTATAGTTTTTAAACGAAAAACCGTAAAGTATATCTTATATTTATTGTGTGTACTAAAGTTTTGTAGATTAAGATGTTTTGGTTAACCTGTATTGACCTGTAGTATAGATCACGAGGCTAGGTTTAATCTCTAATTGCTCTAGTATTCACGACATCTAACCTTTCCTTAATTAAAACTTTCTAGATTTTTATAAAGAATTAAACTATAAAGTAACTTTTATTTTGCTGTTTGACAATTCGAAATTTAATTTTAAGCTATGATAACTTTGGCATTAGCTAGTGACGTTATCCATTTACTTGAGATTAACTGATTAGTTCAGTTGATTAGTTAATTGTTTAGTTTATTAATTTAATTTTTTGTCTCTTGTGGTCATTGATTAATTTAATAAATTTGTTATCTCTGTTGCTAATTACAATTTTAATAAATCTGGCTTTTTTATCCAATGGTAGAGATTTGGAAACTTATTTGATGCTACATACCTACTCGAGAAGTAAAGTAATATCAAGTGTTCGCCTCACAAAATTAAGTGACTAGGATAAATTTTGTAGAAAATGTACACACATTATAAAATGAATGACTGGTTTTTAACAACAGTTCAATAATGCATAAAATTAATCATTATATAGATAACATCAAACTTTACTTCTTCAGGTTTCTAAGAAAATTTTTGCTGCTGTTAAAAAACAAATCAGTTATTCATTATATGATTCATATTACAAATCGGTCGTCACTTCTACCAAGTTTGCTGACCTAGAAATCTGATATTTGAGAGTCCTTCCTTAATATGATAATATACATCTTTCGATCATGTATAAAAATTAACTACAGGATATAAACAGAGCATCCGATCGTGTATTCATCTAATACCCGCAGTCTATTAATTAAGTTTGGTGTCGCTTCATCGTTCACACTACATCGAAACATATGTATATGCATACAAAGGAAAATTAAATGTTGTGGTATTTTTTTACCACAGTGCTGATTGGATTCTGAGAGTTCTTATTCATTATCATCTGTTTCTACATGTTCATTATGATAGACAATTTAGCCTATCTTTATTCTAAAACTATATGATTTTTTTCTTTTCGCCTTGTTGTATCATGTTTATTGACGAGTATTAGCTTTATTAGAAGAAGAAAAAAAAAAAAAAGGCTAAAACCATCTTTGAAGAATAATTTTCATGAATTAAAACATGATTAGTATGTAGAAAATGACAATAGTACGTCTGCTTTTGTCATATTCTATCAAAGGAACACTATTTATCCGTTTCTATAAACAAATTTTTATTTGAATTATTATTTAGAAAAATAAAGATAGTCTGTTGTTGCAGAATACAAATTCTTTACCAAAAAAATATTTTACAACACGAATATAAGCAAATTTACTGTAAAAAAACTACATATTTTTCTAACTTTGTTCTCTTATTTTAAAACAACGATCTATCAGAGATTATTCTGATATATCTAGATGTCTCAGGTCGTTCTTATATCGATCTGTTAACATGATAATGAAACATAACAACTGTCTTATTTTACTTTTTTATGATATTTTTTGTTTGCTGTTGGTTATTTTTCATGACATTAACGATAATTTGAGATCCTTATTATTTATTTTCTCTTTTTTTTTGCTGGATTTTTTATTATTAGTAAAACAATTTTTTGAAAATACATTGTCTATGATGAAAATATTTTGCTTTTATAGGATGAAATATAGATCTTAGAATAGTTTTCTAATTAATACTTGACTAATTTTCGAAACATATTTGAAAAATATTAATAAATGTGTTGAAAAAAACAAAAGGTTAATATGCATTTACATAGTTTGTATGTCTATACACGTATGCAATATATTATCGTAATTAACACATTTCTTTTTTCTTTTTTTTTTTTTTTTTTGTTAAAATACATTGTGTGACATCGATGGTACTTTTAGTATTTACTCTAGAGAGATTATGTTATTTGTTTAAGAAGAATACTTGTATGATTGAACAGTAAATGTTTTTAAAAATTCATTGAATACATTTACCGTTGTTTGATTCATTTGATTGAACATTTTTTATTTTATAGTTAAATATAAAACTATGTATACACGTTGAATAATTAATTTAAATTCAATTTTTATGTATCATCGAAAAATACATCAGATGATTGAATTACTCTTCGCTTTTTTCCTTTCTGGTAGAATACAAATGAAGTTAAGTCAAAAATAATTAAGATCAAAAATGATTTTTGTTTTTTGATAACCGGAATTTACTCGAAAAGAATGTATTAATATTTCACTTTCAATAAAAATATGTTATCTTGGCACATTCGCTTTAGTCTACAAGGATGTTTTCGACTCATCGTTTTTTTCTCCTAGAGAATGTGTAATGAAAATTATTAAGACTATCTCTCTGTCTAAGAGATAAATTTAATTGAGGTTTGTCTTAAAGATCTTCTATATCGGTATTCCATCTGATAATATTTAGATCTATAAATGATTGATCTTTGTAAAAGTTAATAAGTAATAGTTTTTCATAGATATTTTTTCTTTTACATCATTGACTATGGATTTTGAAGTTTACTCTGATATTCATTATGATAAAACTTATTCAAATTGTTGATTACTATCTTTATACAATCTTCACTTTGATTATGACAATATATATTTTTTTGTTTTTAGAATAATGTAAACATTTGCATGATTTGAAATCGTGAAGTAATGAATAGTACACAAAAAAATGAAGAATATGATCTAGATCAAGGAATAACAAGAGAAATAGTAAATTCAAATTCGACTTCATCGTCAAATGATGATCAAGAAGAAGTCAATGCACGTAAGTTTTAAATTTATCTTAATGTATAAAAAATCAAATTATTATCTTATTTATTCATTTGAATATGTAGTTCATGTTGAAAATGATAATATTGAATCGATGCGAAGTGACGATATTGGTAAGTTAAATATTGCTCAACTATTTTTATATTCATATTTTTTTATTCCTTCATTATTATTAGATGTACAATCAATTATTGAAACAGATTCTCGTATAAGAAATATATCCTCAACAAATGACACAACGACAATTTTGACCGTTGTCAATGATCAATTACTACAAAATAATATTTATTTCAATGAGGAATATACAAGAACTAATAATAATAATAATAACAATAATAATAATGATGATGAATTATCAATGTCAACACCATCCGTACATTCTTCTTCTCGATTATCGCCTTTACCAAAAATTTATATAGAAATAGAAGATAAACAACAAAACATTAATGAATCGTCTACTACGACTACTAGTTCGCCTCGTAATAACAAATGTACTGACCCACAAACAACCACTACAATACCTAAACAAGTAAGAAAAATTTCCGAAAAAGTTTTTGAACAGGAAAAGAAGAAATTGTAATAAAACGATTGTATGTGTCTTATTGGACTATTATAAATTTAGAAGGAAAACGTGACTGAAATAGTCGTGAGGTTAACAATATTTTTAATAAAACAAAATATTATTGCCACTATAAAATTCTGAAACAAATAGTCTTCGAATAGAATATTTTGTTTGTAAATAGATATTTCTTATGTTGTTCATACGATTGAGAATATATCCAGGAACATTTTTCCTATGATAGACGTCGCTTAGTGCGATGTTCTTTGAACGTTGATGAATATTTAGATAAAATATTTGTCCTTTGTCCTTCATCTCTAATATGTTAGATTTTTTCTTCTTCTCCTACTGTCGGTATCTGATATATTTGTATAAAAATGGAAAATGAAAGTAAGAAGGATAAGAGAGAGAAAGATTATTTAATATTTATCAAATATTTTTTCATTTTCAAAACAAAAAATAATAAAAGCCTATATAGTTTGAATAATATTTGAACGAATCATTAATCGTTTCAATAAGTACTAAAAAACGTAATCTATTCTTGTGTCAATTTTTTTTACACACATCATATTAGTTAGCATTATAGGTCATATATTCAGAACTTTATTCATGTGAAAGAAACAAGAGAATAAAGGTCAAATTAGTGGGATGGCTATTCATCAGATATGAATGTTACATTATAGACTATTAAAAAAGTTGTCATCGTGTTTCTTAATTGGACAGGCAAGGGCGAAGATTTTCCCCCTCATCATTCGAACGCTTTCGGAAAAATCACACTAATTGAAAGTAGAAAACCGCATATTTTTCAATAAACTTATTTGCATAAAAAGGACCCTCTTTCTGCTGAATTTTTCAGGACAGATTTTCTGTTAAAATTTTATCCCTATTACTATCGAAAACAATTGAGAACTATAGTTATCATGCAATTTGATATGAAATTAGTCAGTCACTTCTCCTTCATTTATAGACGCTCACTCACAATTTGATCAAAAAAATGTGTCGTTTTCCTTTTGAAAGTGGATTTTAGACACTCTTCATGTTTAAAATATTATGTTAATTTATAACTATTTTGAGTCTATGACTATGCATGTTTTTCCATCTATATATATGTTTTATTTTCTAATCAGAATAAATTGTAATGTTATTTCTCGTTCTATAGATGTCTGCATATGTAGATGTTCTATTAGTCATCTAAAATGTCTTGAACAGAAAATTTTTTTATTTTTCACAACAGATTTTCTAGTTCGTTTTTTTTCCATGAAGATTGAACGACAGTAGAATCCTTCTGCTAAGAAAAAATATCTCTATTTCAAATTAAAGTTCTTTCCAATTTTTTCTTTTTTGTCAACAACAAAAAAAAAAAAAGATTGATTAGAATATACTCTATCTTAAAAATGTGTGAGTTCGAATCGTCTTTTCCCTCTCTCTCTCTCACTGTCTCATTGGAGAATGCACAACATAAGAAAATGTTGTCTCTGGTGTTTATAAAGACTATCTTTTTTTATATGCATCATTTTTATTTCATTGACAGATGTACTATACTGTAGAAGTCGAGCTGAGAGAGAGAAAGAGAAAGAGAGAAAAGAACGAACGAAATTGATGGCATTGAAAGAACTAGTCTATTTCTTCTTGTCTTTTTTACTGACAATAATAGATCAATAATCGCTCATATATCTAATCAAAATAGTAGTAACGATGTTCACTAGAGTGGAGTGATACATAAAAATTCATTCTGAAATAAAACATAAATGAAATAAAAATTCTTAAAAATATGCCATCCGCAACGAAACAACAACATTATCATCATAAGTCTCATCGTCGACGACCACACATACATCATGTAAGTTGATATTAAACGTATATTGGTCATTGTGATTGATTATGATCGTTGATTGCATAAAATTCTCCATAATATTTTCGTTTTCGTCGTTTAGTATCAAAAAAATAATTAGCTAGTTGATTAGAAACATGCTGTTGGTATTGTTAGTCGATGTTATCTACCGAAAAGATAATATTTTAGAGATTGCTTATACATTTTGGCACAGAGATTGAGAAAACTGATATATTTCAACTGTTTCGAATAAATCGAGTTGCAAAATAACCTATTGATAAATAATTTTTTTGAATATAATGGTGGACATTGCTTACTGATGATTTGAGAGTTCATATGATTTTAGCGATTAGAGATCGACTACTATGGCCATTATTTTCGTTTCTATAAGCAGATCCAGTTCTTTTTTTCATATACACATGTTTCTTTTTGACATCGTCTTATTTATTTTTTTTTGTTATCTAATTGACACAGTTTAATTCCATTGCCTCACATCAGACCATCTCGAGAGAATAAAGATGGACCAATGCTTCTTTTTTTTATTTTCTCTGAAAATGAATACCATTTGTATATTTACTATTATATTATTGTCATTATAGTGGGTGGTGTGGTTGTTGTTGTTCTTTTAATTACACAGTTTATTAGATAAATTCGCTAGGAGAGAGAAAGAAATGAATGGAAAAAAAAAGGATCATTCATAATTTCAATTGTCAGTTATTTGTTCCATCTAGAACAATCATCATTTACGTTAACATATTTATTTCGAAAAATATCATAGCAAACTGTGCTATTCAATAATAATAGTAATATGCTTTACTATTTATACGACTATCGTGCAATATTATTTCTCAAAAGGTTATAGATTTGTAAAAAAATTCTTCTTTGGTCATAGCCAAATGAGAGGATATTATATATATAGTTACACGAATGTATACAAATTTATATGCCATGAATTCTATGTTAATTGTTTGATTAACTATACTAGGAAACAAATTGAAATGGTAGTCAATCGAGGATAAAAAATAGAAATAAGATCATCTGTTCAAATAGATTTATATCATATCTTAAAGCTCATCGAAGTCCAGTGTATAACAAGAATCTAGCAGGATAGCATGAAGAAAATAGTTGTCATTCAAAAATGCGAAACATATAACTTGACAATCTTTTCCAGTGCATCAATTTCCTTTAAAATTGATTTAACTTTTAGAACTTATAAACAAACGACTCAAATAGAGAGAAAGAGAGAGAATCTGTCATTCAGTAGTAAAAGAATCAAATAGGTGTAAAATGACAGCAACAAAAGATGCAACTAAATCCTCGAACATGCATTACATTAATTATATGTCGTCTATGACAATAGATCTGTGATAGAACGCCATGTTTGAAATTTGACTTTTGTTGTCACGCATATTGTTATATTCATATAATATTACAGCATTTTATCCTATGTGTTACCTGAAATTATTTCGTGAGAACAATATTGTACCTTGATCGATGTCAACCTTCGTTACTGATGTTTTAATTGAATTAATTTCTGTTGTTCTTAGATTTCAAATATTCTGTAATTTTATCGTTAATACATATCTTAGTAGTGATAAAACTGTATGATTAGTACAGAAAAATCATTGCCATTCTTAACCATAAAAGAGATCTTGTCAGCGATTAGTTCAGTAATGTAGATAATCATGGTTAGAATTGAAATGTGGGAAAAGTCAAGAAAAAAAATTCATTCTTAATTAGGAGAAATAATGAATTTTATGGACAGTTACATCTTATTGTGTACCATAGACCTTGAACATACGTTATGTTCAATTTGTTTTTGCCTTCTGCTATTATTTCTATCAGAAGACAAAAAAAAAAAAAAATAATAATAGACTCATGCTGCTTTTTAATCCAGAAGAAAAAAAACTTGTTCTTTTAAACATCATAAATATGTTTTAAATGTCGTTTTTTATAATGAACTCTGTCCTTGATGATTCAACATATCTAATGTATTCGATCTATTTCTGTTTCTCTATCCTAGACCCCCCGGTTAAACGATGAAAACTAAAATATGTTCGAAGATTAGAACATAGATGATGTTTTGACTGTAGTTTTCACTGCAGATTTTTGTATGACTCTTTACAAGAAAAATATCACAATGTAAAGCATTAGAAAAAACGATGAAACCATCTGTTATCGACACAAATTAAACTTAAGACTATGAAATCTATGATATTCAAAAAAACAAAAATTAAGAATAGATAATTACGTGAACTAAAGAAAATCACGACATATGTGTTGAGGCTATTGTTCAATGTTGAGTAGCAGCCATCACTCGTTTTGCTATGACCGATTTATTTTTTGTCTAAAGCTAGACATATGCATTCTTATAATTTTGTTGAGCATATACAATATTAATAGAGACACACTGCAAGGATGTAGAGTGTATATTTATCCTTTGGTTAAAAAAAGAAATAGTATTTTTTTATCTCTCACTCTTTCTGAGTGAACTAGCTTGAAGACAATATCGTTTTTTATCTTTGTTATCGTGTTAAAGTGATAATAATTGAAATTGCTTAAAATATCGATTAGTTTCTTTCTAATTTTAGTTGTTCGAACAAGTGGGATCAATTTTTTTTTTTCTCTTTTTCTTTTTCTTTTTCTTTTAATTAGGTATGTTTCTAGACTACAAAAAATTATCACATTTCTTCTTCTTTGTCTTTGCTATCTTAATTTTTATCTTTCTGGTATTCTATTTGATTACACTTGTGATATTTTTATACTATATGAATAGAGCTTATAAAACGTTAATGTGAGAAATTTTATTTAATTAATAATAATAATTCATCTGTTCATTCGTTTATCTCAATGAAAAAGAATCAAGTATATTGTACAATATAAATTTTAGTTGAAATAGAAGTATAATATGTACGTTATACGGTTGAAAACTGAAACTAGTTCACTAATAAGTAAAATAAAAGAAGTAGTCCCGACTTAATGTAATAAAACTCTCATTTACGATGTTCCTCCATAAAAAACATATTAAAAATCATAGTTTTCATAAGAATGTATGTTTTTCGTTAAAAGGCAATAATGGATCCTTTTCATGTTACTTTAACTTCGAAGGGATTAGATGACTAGTGTATTACATCATATACTTAGAAATGCTTTTCATTACGAGTCGAGGATCTCAGGTTTTTGTGATTTGAAAATTTTTATCCTTCTTTTAACCAAAATTTAGCTCATAACATGTACATCACATCACAGTAATGACGACCAAGACAAAAATGTCATCTAGAACTGAATGAAGTATGTCTTAAAGTTGTTTGAAACGTCTTTTTTTATAAAAAAAACAATGTATATTCATACTTATGAACACATGTTCATTCCATAATAAAAGATATATATTCAATAACATTTGATAGAAAAATGGTTAAAGCATGCGTTTTTGAAGTCAATCGAATAGATTTTCATTTAAGTTAGGAATTTGTTAAAACTAGACGAAAATAGCCAGAAGTCGTATTTTTTTTGTTTTTTGTGCAATTTGACACTCTCAGTTTGATGAGAGCACGTTGAACATTCGATCCGTTTAAAGTACAAATATATTTGTAATTGACATTTTGAAAATCAAAGAGAGTGTTTCGAAGATCTTTTAGAATCCGACGTTTGTTTTTCGATGAGAAGACGTGTCCAGTTTTGACCTATCAAAAACGAAATTGCGTGTCTCGATTACCTTTCTACAAAACATTCTTCAAAGAACAGTAGTAAGTTCTCAAAAAGACACAATTATTTATTTTGATATCAAAAACACGTACTTTGATTTTTTTCTGATTGTTGACAATATTTTTTCTCATTTTTATCTTTCGAAACACTTTTAATCACCAAACTAGTATGTCTATCAGTGATTTTGATAGAGAAACTGATTGGGATTTTTTTCCGAAGTTTTTTTATCATGTATCATCGAGTTTATCAACAGAATAAGAAATAGATTTATGTTTAATTACAATTATGAGTATTCACAATGTGTTATTTCGTTATTTTTAGTCTTTTTTCTTCTATTTATTACTTGTATATATGATTCTCCATGAATATTACGTGTATGAAGAATTACATAATCATCAAATTAGTTGAATGTTTTGGCATAATTATTGGTGAAAGACTCCATGCACTGTATTAACCACTATATAAGTCACATGTGTAGAATGTCAGTATTAAATGTTATTTTGTATTGATTGTTTTAATTATGAACTGTATGAATAGACACACACCATCATTCGTATCATGTCTCATAATTGAGCGTTTGTTTTTCTTTGAGAAATGTCAATAAAAAAGAATAAAAAAAAGAAAGAAATTTTAGATCATTTTACCGGTGTTTCACGACAAAATTCAGTTTTTTTCTATTCAATAAATATGACGATTTTCTTGCTTAGAGGGATCTACAATCTTTAATCTACACTTGTTAAGATTGTGATAACCAGCTTTTATTGAATATTACGCGTAATACATGGCATTATCATCTGATTTTTCTATTTCCACATGTTTTTATTTTTTCTCCTTTCTTTTTCTCTCGTTCGTATGTTTCACAAAAGTACGGCTAAAATGATAGATGTTATAAATGTCATCTTTGAAGGTTTAATAGTATATAGATTGCCTATTTCTATTGTCACTATGATATACAAAATAAGAGTATACGAGTGTCATTTATCCATTTCCCAAAATTACTTAACACGCAAAAAGAGAAATACGACACGTAGTAGTATGACGAAAATTTAGCCAAGATTTTTTTCTATTATTTGTTCAATATGAGAATGTGTAATCCGAAGAGCAATATAAAATTTTTTTTTAGCAATCTTCCCACTTTAATTTTTGATGAAATGTAGAGAGACTCAATACTATTCATATTGTGAAAATATGACTTAGACTTTTTTCCATCATATAGTACTATCTTTTTACGTTAGAAAAATGGAGTCATTGACAGATATTCGTTACTAATTAATGTGTATTTTAGGTTGACGAAGATATAGTAAAAGAAAATCAGTCACAATCTCAAACAGATAATAGTTATTCGAATAATAAAGAATACGAAAAAAATGGTGATACTCAAAATTTAATAGTGGCACATTCTCCTCAATCCACAAGATCATCATCATCAAGTAAGAACATAACAAATTTCACTTTATTATTATCTGTTCATCAATAAACGAATAAGATCAAACTATTTATGTACGTTTTTCTTTTCTATTAGAAGAAAATCATGTTATTGGTCGATTATCACCGGCGTTAACTGGACCCGGTTTAGCTAAACCATTATCATCAACAATCATGCCGAATTCTTCTCATCATAATCACAAACACAATCATAAACAGTCACAACAGGCCAATTCAACAACTCCTGCAGGTAAAAAACGAATCGATGCTGCATTAGAAAAAAATATCGAAACAATTGTTACACAAGTAAAACGAACAACAACCAAACCATCACAACTGACACAAAATGATCTTGAATTATTCGATTCAAATCGTGCATCTACAACGACTAAAAATACTCATCATCACCATCATCATTCTCGTGAAAATACACCGTCTATTCAACAATTATCATCTTCATCTCGGGAAATGACACCAGATTCGATTGATAATTCAGCAGATGAATATCGTAGTTATACAAATGGAACCACAGCGACTACCTCAGAACAGTTTATTCCTCATGCAAAAAATGGAGTAGGCATGTATGATTTAAACTCTTTACCACCCAGCTGGCAACCGCCGCCAACTCTTTTACCGCCTTATCATTATCATCCTTATTTACCATCGCCATATGGACTACCAGTTCCTCCACTACAAACTCCAACAAACAATTATTATAATAATTCGTTAGCTACGCAATATGATCCGGTATTACTGGAACGTTATGGGCCAGCAGCATTGGCCGCATTTGCCGCTGTACAACAACAACATCAAAATTCTTACATGATACATCCACAACATCTGAATATTGCTCCACAATCATCCCAAGAGCATTTATCAGGTAATATTCATTATCCTCAAAGTTGTTTTAGAACGACGACCTCATCGTCGTCCATCAATGATTTCCTAATAAATACGCCAACAGCTTCCACGCCGATATCTGCTAGTCCTATCGCTTCTACCACTAACCATCAGCATCATAGTAAAAAAGTTGGAAAAAAAAGTAATAATAATCGTAGTTTAAATACGGATGATACGAGTCGTGCTGTAGCACGCGATCGACAACAGGTCACAACGAACGAATTATCATCAGCGAAACGAGATACTAAAATTAAAAAACAAGTATCAGAAATGAATGGTGAAAATATAAAGTCTCCGGTAGATAAACGTAACGAACAATTACCTTCTCATCTTTATTTAAATCAAATAACATCTTTACCATTCGTCACATTATACGATAATACACCGATAAATAATAGTAATAATAATAATAATAATAATAACAATAATACCTCTCAAAAACCTGTTGAAAATTATCATCCGCAACGTAAAACAAATAATATTACAAATGAACTAGGCCAGATTGGTAAGAATGAATAATAATTCTTGTAGTATGGATGTAGATTGATTATTAACTGTATAATTAGAGTCGAGACCGTGTTCGGTAATTTTGTAGCTCTCGTCATTTTTGTGTTACGTTGCTTATCGTGTCATAAACTCTATATCTTCGTCATGTATTATTTATGGATATCTCTCTTTGTGTCCGTAGTGTTGTGAATAATGAATTTTTCTATTTTTTTTCTCTGTTATAGAGCTCACACCAACAAAAGATCAAGGTTCCGTGAAATCGTCTTGTAGTGGTGGATCTTTGAAATCCGATTCAACATCAACAGGAAGAAAATTTGTAAAAAATAGTAATAACAATAATACACCGATAACAACTTTACAAACATCACCACCGTCACAGAGTAATCAGGCAATTAATGATAGTCTTAATAAAATGTCACCAGATCTATCGTCAGATTGTGAATATAACGATACAGATAGTATCATATCGTTTGAAAGCCAAAAATCAGACACAGCAGGTGACTAATCCATAGATTATTTAATACAACTAAAAACTATAGTTCTTTACTTAATAATCTACTTTTATTATTTCTTTGTTTTTCAGCTGGAATGCCTGTTCTTGAGGATGGTTTATCTGATGAATGTGTGAGTGATGATAACAATGATGAATTGTCTTCCTCAAGTGATCGTCGTAATCGACAACAACGTCAAACGGCACACCAGTCAACTCAGAGTGATTTTTTATTCGATCAACAACAACAACAACAACAAATGCCTCCAATACTTTCTATGTCTCATAAACGAAATTTTATGAAAGTAAATAATACTTCATTAAATACAAACACTGAAGAAAATTTAAATCCACGATATACTAATCGTTATAATCATAAACAACAGACTAATTCTAGCAGTACATCGATTGCGACCACATCTCCAACAACGTCTTCCAGTAATAATAATCTATTTTCCTCTCCAACTTCGTCAAATTCCTCTTCCATATCATTTCAAAAATCATTTTATATTCGACCACCACCTCCGTCTTCGCTTCAATCACACGATGATAATATATTGACTAATAACAATCATAATAATCATTTACCACGATATCAAATATCATCTCCAACTACAAATTCACCGACATTTATCAATAAAACTAACAGTGACATTAATAATGAAAATCGACATCCGTCCACTACAGTTGGTAAGATATCAAGAGAGCTATAGAGTCTCTTTTTTTTCATTCGAGTATACTAAATACTGATCTATTAATAAAACTGGTTATGTTACACTTTGAATTTGAATCAATTCTTGAAAGTAGGAGTTAGAAAGAGTAAAACGGCTATTATAATTTAGACACGGACAAAAATACTGTTACACTTGAGAAACGAAAACCGAATAAGGGTGGGTTTGTCTGAGCGTGTGCGTGTATGATATGAATTATTATTTTGTTTTTTTGTTTGTGTGTTTGTATATGCATGAACAAAGCACTACTAACATATTTAATTTCAGAGTTTATAGGACTCTGATGCCGACGATCAATAGAGAATAAGTTCTATGGATATATGATAACTAGATTAAACATGTACATTTTACCGATATCTGAGAAATTCTATTACTAACTATTTTATAAATAATATCACTGATTTATATTGACAAATATGTTGAATTTTTGTTTGTGTTTTGCATGAATTCTCTAGTTTGAATTATTCAAAGCTGCGCATGAAATCGTAAACTTATTTTTTGTCATGTCTCTGTTAACAAGATTCAGGACAACTTTTCATAGTCGAGAGTCATGGTACAATCCGTGTACGGGCGTCTTGATGCTTTTGTAGTGTTGTTAAGTAAGAGTGGTTTTGTCCTTCAGCTAATAAAGATACTGTGTTATTTAGAATGTTCTCTATTATAACATACCAGTTGAACTTTATGCTTATTTTTTTCCTAATTTAGACTATGATACTGACGAAGAAACAGACAAATTACTTGGTTGTGAATATCGTTCGGATGCAATAAAAAATGACCGAACAAAAGACCCGGTAAGTTCTAAAATGTGAATTTTCAGGTAGTTTTGGACAGATCTGTCTGTGAACTATTCAAGTTTAATTTTTTTATCTGTCATTTCGTTGGACATTTTGTAAGTAGAAAAATGTGATCAGTTGATCACTCACATTCTCTTTGTGACAGTTTACGCCCAAGCGGGATTTTCACCAAATAAGTCTAAGATAAATGACCCGTGAAAAACTAAATACCTACTGAAATTTAGCAAAGTTCTTGGTATCACGAAGTATAATAACATTCAAGAAACCAGTCGTAAATCACTCAGCCATGCTAAGTATGTGGGTCTAAGTCCCGTTTCATCTTCAGCCGAAACCCTTCTGGGTACGTTTTTCTTCTTTCTTTCAGTCATGCTTGGAACCTAGTTTATAGAGAATCTAGCTAAAACAAATACAGACAACAGCGACTCATCAAGAAAATTTTGCATAGGAAATGATCGTTATAGTCTAAGTACTTTTCAAATAACAAATGTAAAAAATGGAAAGAAATCACATTTTTGTCTTTTTCTGACTCACGAATTATTCATTTCTAATCAAAATATACGTTCTTTTTAAAATTTGCGCATGAATTCACATCGAGATAGATTTTTGAGTTTGATTTCGGCTATTTTCCTAATTAAAAAATGTCTTTGCTTTTCTCATATCTTACAAAACCGCTGGACTTTTACATTATAACATAATGGTATGATTCCATTTTCTTTTTTGGTAGAGTACAATTTGCCATATAATTCGATAAATAATATCACCAATATTTGCGTAAATCAAATCGCACAAATTCTTGAATGTTCAAATCAGATGGAAAAAGTCTAGTTATTCATATAGTGAACGTTTTTTTCCAAGAGTCAGCATTTTCCTATTTATGATATGCCTGATCAAATGGTGGATACAAAACTTAAACTTTGTTCACCATTACAGCTGTTCAATACTATTTAAGAATTGACTCGTAACGGGTTAATAATGGTTGTTTATACTTCGGTGTTTTCATTCTAGACGCCAAAAGCAGGTCAACCTCAACCGCCGCAACAGCATCGAACACGTGAAGGTAATTTAGTTTTCTAATTTCTAATTATATTTCGACAGCAGCTAAACAAATAATTCTTCTTGCTTTATTAAACTATGAGATATTGCATTTCACACCAGAGATAGTAGTAAACAATGCTCTTCGACCTGTTTTTCTCGTAGTCGGGATAAACTGAGTTTATCAAATTTGAAAAGATTAAATTTACAATCATCAGTCACTTGATTATCTATGAATAGTCATGGAAATTTAAAAACATCATATTTTCAAAGTCTTTCTGTTCGTCTAGAAAACTTTTGAGTTGTCTCTAATCTAAACATTGACGGATTTATGTTAAAATAATTTTATTTTTTATTCTTACACGTACATCCTTTCAAATTAACTTTATTCATTTAACTAATTCGTTTTTCGTAAGTATAAATAACGCAATCATTAAGTGTTGTCTTGTGATGATCCCTTTAATATCTTTTACTGTCTGCTTGTTGTTGTTGTTGCTTTGTATTATTTTATTACTTGCTGTGTTTTTTAAAGCATGATTATCTCAACATTACCATTAGAAGCCTTCACATACTCTGCTGTATCCTATAAAATTTTTTCTTTACACAAATATTCCTCGTGCTTTCGTTTTTCAATTGTACGTACGCTAGTAATCAAAAGTTAGTCTAGCTTTCTAAGATTTAGTTTAAGCTTTAATCTTGAACCAGGACGAAATCGAGAATATAATTTCTCATTCTATCATTCTGAAACTTAAACTATCAAATTTTTTGTTTGGGCTCACACCTTGACGGAAATATCTGTCGTTCAAGATTTGTGTGAATTGTAAAGATTTATATAACTAGTTCAAATGCCAGAGTGTCCAACACACATCATGTTCAACGTATTTGAGTCAGTTTAGTTATAGAAAAACTTGTTCTAACGTGGATGTTGCTTTTTTTGTTCGTTAATCATATGTGTAATAACTTAGTTTGTATTGTTTTATGTACACTGTATGACTAATTTAATGTCTCTGTTTTCAGTATTAACTCATACAATTGTTGATCCGGATAATTCTTCAGTGTTAATCGAAGGTGTTCTATTCCGATGTCGATATTTGGGTTCCACACAATTGTTAGTCGAAGGAAATCCAACAAAAGCAACGAGAATGACTCAAGCACAAGAAGCAGTTGGAAGAATCAAAGTAGATAGAATATTTTATTGTGAATATAATTATATAATAATTATATTTGGTATTTTAGGCTCCACAAGGTGAAAGTCAGCCAAGTGTTGAAGTTGATTTATTTATATCGACGGAGAAGATAATGGTGTTAAATACAGATTTACAAGATGTTCTAATGGATCATTCACTCCGTTCTATATCTTATATAGCTGATATTGGAGATTTAGTTGTTTTAATGGCTAAACGACGTTATATTAATGCAGCACCTGTAGATGATAGTAATACTAACGATGATCAAAATAATAGTAGTGAAACAAATATAAGAAGGGTGGCTATTAATCAGAAAATGATTTGTCACGTATTTGAATCAGAAGAGGTAAGTTCTATATTCTCAGTCAAAATATCATATTAGATTTACGGTAATACGAAATAGTCACTTGCTGAATTCTTTCTATTTTAGGCGCAATCGGTTGCACATTCAATTGGTCAAGCATTTCAAGTTGCCTATGTTGAATTTTTAAAAGCAAATGGAATCGATGATCCAAGTTTTGCCCGTGATATTGATTATCAAGAAGTATTAAATCAGCAAGAAATATGCAGCGAAGAACTGAATCGATTTTCAAAAAAAGAATGTCAAAAAGAAGTATGTAGAAAATTTTTATTTTTTTCATTATTAGAATGACATCTGTTATATTTTTCTAACTAGGTAATTATTCCAAAACAGAAAAGCGAAGGATTAGGTATGGTGATTGTTGAATCCGGCTGGGGATCAATGTTACCCACAGTTGTTATTGCAAATCTAATGCCAGGTGGTCCATCTGCAAGGTTTGTTTTACTAAACATTTTTCTATATCTTACAGTTATCCGTTCATTTTTTTATTACAGATGTGGTAATTTAAATATCGGTGATCAAATTATATCTGTAAATGGAATTAGTCTTGTCGGTTTACCATTATCAAACTGTCAAACACAAATTAAAGTAAGAATTTATTTTCAATGTTAGATTCATTTTTATATAAATGCTACTTTTCATTGTTCTATAGAATGTCAAACATTTAACAACCGTTCGACTTGTTGTTGTACCATGTCCACCAGTTGTCGAAGTCTTAATTAAACGACCAGACACAAAATATCAGTTGGGATTTAGTGTACAAAACGGAATTGTAAGTGACGAGTGAAAGAAAGAATTCTTCTTAAATGAATTGAGTTTTCACACAATCTGTTAGAACTGATCGCTTTTGAACAGAAGCTTTGTCTATAAAAGTTGTTAGACAGATAATCAAATTTTATAATCAAAATAATCACGAAACTTTTTGTTTCATTTAGATTTGCAGTTTATTACGGGGTGGTATCGCTGAACGCGGTGGTGTACGTGTGGGTCATCGAATTATTGAAATCAACGGACACAGTGTTGTAGCAACACAACATGAAAAAATTGTTAGTATGTTATCAAATTCAGTGGGCGAGGTAATTAAAATAGAAAAATTTCAAACTATTGTTAATATTATTCATTTTCATTGTTTTTATCTTCAAATATTTAGCTTCGTATGAAAACGATGCCAACCCAAATGTACAGACTCTTGACGGGCCAAGAACAACCGAATTACATATGATACTGATTTTAAAGAAAAATAAAAAACAAAAATTGACAATCGTATGTGCATTATTGTCGTTCGTTACTACATTAGTCAAGTCAAACTACATCAGTATTAAATTATAACTAAATTCGTTGAAAAACTTCATTTTTCTTTTATAACGTTGTTTTATTTTATTTTTATCTTTCTTTTGTACTAAAATGATAGAATGTGAATATGTATAGTTTTTTCTCACATGATCTCAGAGATCCATACTATTAATTTAAGCTATAATACGATTACTATGTACGATTTTTCGTCGATTGTAAATTCAATTGTGATTCGAGAAGTGGTATAAACATGATGTTGGCTATTAGGTCAACTACTCTTTTCCAATGGTTGGTTTATATCAATAGTATATCTAGTAGTCAAGCAGACATACTTTTGTAGAAAAAATTCTATCTCAGAATCCTAATACATCTCTAGAAATAATGGCAGACAAATAAAAGATACATTCAATATTTTTTTCTTCTAATTTATTTTTGTTTTTGCTACCGGCAATACTCTTTTTGATTCTTGTCATCTAGCTCAATTCGGCTTTAATAAGCTTTTTCTTTTCTTTTTTTTTCGCGCTTTTTCGTTTCTGTACAAGATGGCGAATTAAACTATGCGGATATTAGTGTTTGGTTTGAATGCAACGAACTTTGTGGTACTATTACTACTATCACTGCTGTGAACAGTGAGTTTTTTTCTTGTAATTTATTCTTTTTTCTTTTTTGTTTAGAATGATATCTCTTCATGTTTCTTTTATAATGTTCTCATCTTTATTAAAATGCCTTTTAATATACACCTCACTTCTATCATTTTCTTTTCTGTTCGTTATTTTATTGTAAAAAATAAGAATGATAAAATTGATTGATGTGCTTTTTATTTTTGTTGTTGTTTTTTATTATTGTCAGACTAAAATAATCTGTTTATGCGCTCTGTTGTTGATGTTGTTGTTTCTATTATATTTCTTGTATAATACTGTTATTTTCTCTCTCTTTCTCTCAGATTCTTACTCAAAATAGAATGCACATAATAAATGTTATCATCAATGCACATAAACCGAAGATATGATATTTTTATTTGAAAATTGTCTTTCAAATTTGAATATTTTATTTCGTATAGCAAGATGCAGGAATCTAACGTTAACCAAATTAATCAAGCTATTACGGTATTTGTCATGAAACAGAAAAATATTCTCTCTGTATTGTGGAACTTAATATCGAGAATCTGGATTACTATGATGACCAAAAAAAAGTTGTTTGAGATTAAAATCAAAGACTAATCAACTCGTAACGCATTTATTTTAAAAACGTCTTCGTTATTTCAATAATTATGATACATTTGGGGTTTATCAAATGAAAAAACAATTGTCTAGCTACACGCAATTATTTTCAACAACTCTGCTTTTTAGGACTTTTAGAAAATGATTTAAAAAGTTGTAAAAAAGGCCACTTTTTGGCAGCAAGTGATAAAGATTTTGAAAGTAGCGAGTTGAGATTACACATGAATATGTATAATAAAGTTATTCAAATTTTCAACAAACGTTTCCCACTTTCATATTTAAATTAATATTCTTAAATATGAAACTTGACAATTTTAAGATTTGATTAGCAATGTGAAACCATTAAAAAGAATCAAACCACATGCAATTTCAAAAGATACTGTTAGTATTAGTTGTGGAATAATCATAAAGTGAGAACTAAAGCGAAATTTTGGTGAATAGACGAATACACTTTATAGCCGTGAAACTCCGTGGAACAATGAATTGAACTACTTACGCAATAGATTTTTTAAGGATATTAAACTTTGAAGAAACAGACTTTGGAAGTAATTATTTGTTTTGAGATAACTGAGACCAAGGTTTTAATCACAAACGTACCAGAAATATGCAAAAAACGACTCTAACCCTCTTTTGGTGTTTCCATGTGAAAAGAAAAAGTTCCCACTTCCGAAACAATTGCCCATATTATTTGAAGAAAAAACAAGGAGTGATTAAGTGGGACAAATACACTTATTACACCCCCCTCATATATCGACTATTTCAGTTTAAATAGCCTCTGCGGAGTTCACTGAGTGCATTCTTAACAGTCTCTGATCGATAGATCAAGGCATATATGAATCACG